CCACGCGGGATTTAGAAAGTCTTTTAAATTAGGCGTGGTTTTTTTTTTTTTTTTTTCTTGTTTACAGGGAATTTTGGTCTTATAAGCAACCATGTCCACGATTTATTCGGCAGGAAGTTAGGTCCACCCACACGCTTTGATAAGTTCAATTTTTAGATCATGAAGTTAGGCATCAATAATAATTAATGTATTGAGAAAACTATTGAGCTTTAGAATGCATAATTCTAAATTTTTACCTCTTATTTTTAAATAATACCTTTTTAACGAATATAATTCTTTAACTAAAAAAGATTTTAATTAAAAATAAAGGATAAAAATTCAGTCTCTTGAACTCTAAAAATATGTCTCCTTTTCATGTTATATATCTTTGCTTTTATGTGTTTTTTTAGAACGATTTGAAGGGAATATAGGTGCTCAAAATTACGTTTGGAGTTTAAATTTCCTCTTTTAGTTGGAAAAAACGAAAACGACAAAAAAAAAAAAAAAAAAAAAAAAAAAAAAAAAAAAAAAAACTTAACTTGGCCGAGCTGGCAACTCTTTTGCTCATGAAGGGGACCAAATTATCTAGATGACTTGTGCACGGCCTATAATAAGGAAGAAAAGTATAGATGAGTGGTCCAACTTATAAACTTATTAGCATAGAGTTAGACTACGACAAAGATAAATATATATAATACACACACGTACACATATATAAATACATATGTATATTGTATGTGTGAATTATTTTAATGGGGAATTAATTGGTCGTGCAATATTAATAAGAAAACAAAAATCAAGGGATCTTGTCGTGATAAAAATTAGTTTCCAAAACTTTTCTAGTGATAAAAATGCACGAGTCACCATATTTAATACCAGATACATATTATATACATACATGTATACATACATACATATATATATATATATATATATAAGTTTGCAGACACATGACTTACAACATTTCATTAGGGTCTAAGACATTCTCTATTGCAATGATTTTTGCAGGTCATGAGGAGGGGGAACAGAGCGCAACAAATGAAAAGATTAAGGGAACAGAAAAGGAGCAAAGTTAAAGGCCTATGAAGCCATCATAACTTTCCAAAACAAGAGGTGGTTGAACGCATCATCACCCCAAGAACCCTTGCAAAGATCATCTTGTTAATGTACAATATCATTTCATATATTGGCCTGCATGCACCAATATCATCTCTATTGGCACACTCTCCTCCACCTTTGTCCCCAATGCACATCATGCTGATGCCAAACTTACATCACAAAACATAACCACAAGTGAACCATGTTGTATTTTGGCCGAGAAAATGAAGAAAAAACATCATATTTACAATAAATAATTGAAGTACATAGTATATATTAAAACTATTTGAAGTAAACAATAATAAATTAAAATTTTATGTGGTAAAAAAAAAATTTTTAGCACGTAAATTTGGTCTTAAAAAAGAAAATTAAATCTTTAGTAAATTAAAAATTTACGTGGTAAAATACCACTTGAGATGGTAAAAATATATTAATTATTTATGCCACTCCACTTGAAAATAAACAATTGTCATTCAGTTTTGTAAGAGAAATTAAAAAGCCACGACGGCACTCAATTATTTAGAATGACGTAAATAATAAGTTTGTACAAAATCATGATAAACCATCTACTTTTCTCTTATTTTTATAACAATTGGAAAAAGGTCGTAAAGGATAGGTAAAGATTTTTCCTGAAACATGGGCAGTAATAGTTCCCATAGTTAGTATTAATTTGACTTTATAATTAAAATGTAGAATTTTTTCGAGTTTGATTTGACCTAAGTATCGAAAGTGTTGAAAATGTACATCACTATGCGCAAGATCAATACAAGGAGTGGAAAAAGGACTTGCACAATTACTTTAAGTACATATGGGAGATAGATTTTTTCTGAAACATGGGCAGTAATAGTTCCCGTAGTTAGTATTAATTTGACTTTATAATTAAAATGTAGATTTTTTTCGAGTTTGATTTGACCTAAGTATCGAAAGTGTCGAAAATGTGGATCACTATGCGCAGGATCAATACAAGGAGTGGAAAAAGGACTTGCACAATTACTTTAAGTACAAATGGGAGATATTGGATGATTTAGAAAATGTGAGAAGACAACATCCCGCAACTTTAAAGTCACGGTCAGATTAAAAAAAATGTTGGCGATGGCTTTTGTAGTTATACTTTTTCATGTAAACATTTGTAAACTTTTTCTTAATAACTTGAATTCAGTACGTATCAATCGTTTTCTATTTACGATTTATTATTGTTCGTACAAACGGTCTAAGGCAAACGATACAAACTGTGGCTAAGGTTCCTCATCCAAGCCGACATGATATACTTAACATCATAAGCTATTAGAAGATAAAAAAAGCTAATAAATCATAAACATACCCAACTTCAATTTTATTACAACAAACATTAATGCTCTAACATAAGTTGAGTATTTCCAGAGAAATCCTCAAAACCGAAAAAGTTATAGTCTGTTCTCAAAAATTGGCATGAATATTGTCATGTTTGTCCCTTGGGGTTACGGGTTAACATGGCTACGGGACACTTTGAAAAAAAAAAGGGAGAAAGAAAGAAATAGGCCAAGACTTGAGATAAATTAAAATTAATAGACCAATAGTTTACATAAGTTTATAAATAGGCCAAATTACTGTTTTCGTCCATAACTTGTCTGGTTATGAACCATAATTTTACAAGTTATTCTCAGTTTTTGTCCATAACTTGTCTGGCTATGAACCATAACTTGACAAGTTTGTCCATAACTTATCTAGTTATGAACCATAACTTGACAAGTTATGGCCTATTAATTTCTATAACTAAAAGTTTGCCTATATACTTTCTTAAGCTCTTTATATTGGTCTATTTCCTACTATTTCTCTAATTATAAAAAAGCAACATTATTTATTTTGAAATGTCGTCGCCAATAGACGTTATGACAAAATTTTAGCAACAACATTTTAAAAAAAAAAAAATTGTGATGAAAGATTATTATATCATTGTGTCATAAGAACGATATGTCATATCGTTGTTAAAACCCACAAGTCACTCTACTGGTTTTAACAACGATATGTATGGTAGTTAAAGTGGCAGAATTTAACGATGTTTTTTAATCACTATTGATTAAAAACTTTTAATTAAGTTTATTTTTAGCGACAACAATATTATCGTTAAAACGTTTTAGGGGCTTATTATTCATGCGTGATATCGTTCTATACTAGTTAGTATTTTCATGTGACATATGGAAGCTAATGAGTATACATGATACCATGCTACACTATATTATTTAATAGGCATGTCCCATAAGTTGGACAAGATCATCAAGGGAGAAGCTTCTACGTATAAGGGTATGTTTGATAGAGATTCTTAGAGCCCAAAATTAATTCTCTAACCATCCACAGTTGAAATTTGTGTTTGGTAAAAATCATAAAAAGTGATTTTTAAAGAATTTTTGAAGAATTTACAGTCAAAATCAGAAGCAGCCTAAATGTAACTTTGACTTTTAGATTGTGCGACAATCACTTTGAAGTATAATTAATGAAACTTTTATAATACTCGTAATACCCTTAGAATCAATATTTATATGATTACAGTTTATCAAACACTCAGTTACTTTTCATAACATCTATTTTTTTCAACATAATTAATAATAATTTTTTTTTAAATCTACGACACTACCGAACTGGCTCTAAGTACTATTGGTGCTTCGAAAGGAGTAGTACTCTAAATAATGAAGAAAACGTGGCAAACCAAGCATGATAAAATGGTAAATGTTCTTTTTGTTTTTTCTTTTTCTGGTGGTGTGTGGAGTTAGTGGAGGGTAAACAACCAAACATGATGAATGGGTAAAACACAATAGTGGAAAACCGAAAAGGTAATTAAATATTGTTGGAGGGTTCAATTATGGTGGGCTTGCAATATGTAACAAGTAGTTTTTGGTTTTGGTTTCTTTTTAGGCCTTTGGTTACATAAAGAAAGAGAATTGGAAGAGATTGGGAATATATTTGATGCCAAGTAGTGATCATAGTGATGGTGATGATGAGTGTGCCTGGCATTGCACGCCACCAATTCCACACACACACACACACAAAAGAAAAAAAAAAAAAAAAAAAGAAAAATCTTTAGAATCAACAAAGAGAATGTTCATGATGATCCTCACTGCACGCTCGCCCTTATTGATCTCGTATTGCCCTCAAACCAAAGTTTATAACATTCTTCAAGTAAAGAATATTAGCAGGATTTTCGCTACTTGTCAGCCCATTTCAATCATTATCTTTTATCGTTTTCTCTTCCTCTTCTAAAGGAACGTTATCACATCTCCTATTAATGCACTATAGTGCAATGCCCATCATCCTATTTTCCTAACATGCATATATATATATATATATATATATATATATCCACCAAAAAACAAATAAAATGAATAAAAATTCAAACCCTATTACTCAAAAGTGAAGAAAAATATATAAAGAAAAAGAAGAACGAAAATTGTCACTTTCTTATTCTTTTAATTTTTTTTGCTAATCTTTCTTCTTCTTTTAATTCATTACGCACTTTTACCCTTCTCTCTTTCTCTATATCTATCCATTCTCTACATGCATATATGTATGTAAGAATATATATGGTAATGCATTATATCATTACGAAGCATAATTATATATATATATATATATATACACACACACACACACATGAAAAAGAAAAAACACACTTAAACAAGACAACTTGTGTACAGCTACGCTAACCTAAGAAATCGTGTATCTTTTCAACCCTCAATTTCCAATAAGGATATTCTGAAACGCAACTTTTCACTCTATCTCAAGAATATTGCTATATCCAAATTATTGTTTTAATTTTTATTTTTTATTTTTTTTTATTCGGTTTCTCTGCCACATTCCCCCTTCTTATATTCTGCTCCTTGCCTTCTCTCTCTCCCCACAACTTCGCTCTCTCTCTCTCTCTCTCTCTTATATATCTTTCTCTCTCTTTGCTTAGTTTTTCTCTCTCACTTTCTCGGTCAAGTACTGTCTGGCTCTTAGGAAAATGGATAGTGCTATTTCTTGCACCAATGGAATTAGCAATGGGAATGGGGTGTGTGGAAAAGGCTATTCATTGAATGGTTATAGGAAGAGTTGTTGGTATGAAGAAGAAATTGAAGAAGACTTAAGATGGTGTTTTGCTCTCAATAGGTATATATATACATATATATATATATATATACACACACACACACGCGCGCATATATACGTACTCATTCTTATATGTGAAATTTCTTTGCAGAATCATGCATGAATAAAAAACACAATATATCATAAAAAATATATATAATGGATTTTCCTCATTTTATATTTTCTTCTTGTTTCTACTCTGTTGTCACACATTTTTCTGTACTATTTTTTCTCTATCATCTCGATTCTGATCTTATAGCTCCTTTCTTTTCTGTCTCTCTCTCTCTCTCTCTCTTTTTTTACCAAAATGGGTACTTCCTTTTAGAAGTAGTTTTTTAGATTTATGAATTGGTGAATATTCTTTAATATTATAAAAGTTCCTATGATTCATTTAAAAAATTAAATAAAATAAAAGTTACTATAATACTCCAAAAGATTTTGCAACATTATCCTTTTATTGTGTGAGACAAAAATAACTAAAAGTGTGGCCTAGCTGTCTGCCGTGAGTTAAAAATACGCCAAACATTTATATACTTTTTAGAATGGCAATTATGATGATCATGTAAAGTTGGACAACAAAGAGACAGACTTAGAATACAACTAATAACATACAATCACCATGTTTAACATCTTGATAAATTTTAAGCATTTTCATAATCAATCATTTTAATATATTTTCTTTTTTTTTTCTTGCTATGCAGTATATTACACACAGGACATTCTCAGTTCCAAGACATTGCCTTGTTGGACACCAAACCCTTCGGAAAGGTTTATAATAATGGAAGAAATTATATAATAAAAAAAAATTTGTATAATATTCAAATTTTCTCTGTTTTGTTTAATAACTTATTTTCCATTTTTTACAGGCATTAGTCATTGATGGAAAGCTCCAAAGTGCAGAAACTGATGAGTTTATCTACCATGAATGTCTTGTCCATCCTGCTCTTCTTCATCATCCCAAGTACTTTTTTTTGTCATCTTCATAGCCTTTTCATATTTATGATTTTTTTTCATATTTATTAATAATATATTCATTTTTTTTCTCTCAATATCTATTATAGTCCAAAGACTATTTTTATCATGGGAGGAGGTGAAGGTTCTACTGCTAGAGAACTACTCAGACACAAGGCTGTGGACAAGGTTGTCATGTGTGACATTGATGAGGTAAAGACCCTTTCTTTGCATTTTTTTTTCCTTTTTAATATCATATTATAAATAAAGCTTTTTTCCCATTTCTAAATTTTACTTCTTGCTCATTTAAGGCTACAAATAATTTCTTTTTCTCTATTTCCCACAAATAAGATAACTAACTTTTTTAAACAAAGGAAAAAAGAAAAAAAAAAGTCTTCATAATACTACCAAGATGTGGACAAATATGAAGTATTGTTACCTTTACAGCTGATTTTGGTGAATGTCTCCTTTGTTTAACGCTTATAGTCATCATGAAAGATAAACTTAATTGAACCAAAAAAAAAAAAAAAAAGATAAATTAAGAATTGGGTTAGGAAGAAAACTTTCCCAAAAGATTAGAATTCTTACTAAATGCTTTTAAATAACACAATGGAGTAGGAGGTGGTGCAGTTCTGCAAATCATACTTGCTTGTAAACAGAGAAGCCTTCTGTGATCCAAGACTCAAGCTCGTCATCAGCGACGCGAGGTTCGATTCTCGACCGTTTAATTTTGCCGATTCGATTGTCAATTCTCTTGTTAGAAACTATTATTTATTTTTTTTTTTGGTAAATATAAACAAAATATATTGTGGTGGATTACAGGGCTGAGCTAGAAAACAAAGAAGAGAATTATGATGTGATTGTAGGTGACCTTGCGGACCCAATTGAAGGAGGCCCTTGTTACAAACTCTACACTAAATCCTTCTATGAGTTGGTTGTCAAGCCTAAGCTGAACCATGATGGCATCTTTGTCACACAAGTTTGTGTCACAACTCTAATACCAAGAAATTAAATTAAGAAGATTAATGGAATTAAATTAGTTAAACCGTGATTATTTTTAACTTATGCAGGCGGGCCCGGCTGGAATTTTTAGCCACGCAGAAGTTTTCTCTTGCATTTACAACACTTTAAAGCAGGTTTTCAAATGTAAGTAAAATTTGTCCATTCTTGACCAGAATATTTGTCCATTCTTTTTTAGCCCCCAAAAGGTTATTTTTTTTTCTTTTTAATGGTTTTTTCATGATATGAATGCAGATGTTGTGCCTTACTCAGCTCATATTCCTTCCTATGCTGATACTTGGGGTTGGGTCATGGTATGAAAAATAACAAAATATCATACAAATAAATATTAATGAGAATAGTAAATAATGCAAATATCACTATAGTTTGTTTTTTTTTTTTTTTCTTTTTTGTCTGTGTTTACTAGTGAGTCCTAATGCACTATTTTTTTGGTGGTAAATAGGCTTCGGATAAGCCTTTTGTGCTTACTGCTGATGAGTTAGACATTAGAATCAAGCAGAGGATCAAAGGGGAGAACAGATATTTAGATGGGAAGACATTTTCTTCAGCCTCTACTTTGAGCAAAGCCGTTCGAAAATCGTAAGTCCTTTTCGATTTCGAGTCCTTTTTTTCCGTTTAATTTTGATTAAGGAATTAGTATTATACAACTAACATGAGATGGGAATTTGCAGGCTTGATAATGAAACTCATATATACACTGAAGGATCAGCAAGGTTCATTTATGGCCATGGATGTGCTGATAATAAACAAAGTCATGTTTAAGAAAAAAGTCTAGTAGAGTTCTCCTTCAAAAAGCATATATAACACAGAAGAGTGCAAGTATTGGGAGACAAATCTTGGCTATTTCCTGCTGATTATTCCTATCTCTATTTCTTTTTCTTTTCTTTTCTTTTTTTTGTTTTTTTTTGTTTTGTTGTTGTTGTTGTTTAGTTATAACTTAAAAGCTATTATATAATGGTTTGTGTATGGGTCCTTGTCTGTGTTCCTTTCTTCAGAACTTTATGAGAAGCTATATGTAATTTAAGAACAAGGAAAAGATATTGAAGACAACAATGGTTACAGACCTATAAATTTTATGTACCAAAAATATGAGCATACTTTACTAAAACCAAAATGAGCAGACCAAAGATGGACTATTATCCACCATCTACAATGTACAACTTTTGGCTTAAGAATGAATCAGAATAAGCACTATCTGTATGGAAAGAAAAAGATGCCAAAATCAAATTGTAAAACGAAACAAGTTTAAAGTTTCTATGGCCGTGTTTGGAATTGATCTCGTTTTTGTTTTTCACATTTTTTAAGAAAGAAAAAATAAAAACGTTTTCAAAACAGCGTTTGGTGCAATAAAAACAAAAAACGGAAATAAAAATGATTTTTTGGTTTAGTATAAAATGAGAGAGAAATGAAAAATGACTTTTAGTCGTTTTTTATTTTTTGTTTTTGTTTTATCCTCTCTCGAGCAAAGAGAGAGAAAGAAAGACATTAATAGGTTTTTTTTATACTGAAAACAATCTCTTAATAAAACTACCAAACACATTTTTTAAAATGATTTTTATCAGAGATTGAAAACGTTTTCATTTTCATTTTCATACAAAAAACAAAATTATTTTGGAACTAATTTCAAGCGCGTCCTATATGTTTTTAGGAATTAAAACTCCTAATTCCACTTGTTCAAGAACAATTATCAAACAACAAAAAAGTAAAATAAAATCAATATAGTATAGACACGAGATTTATAGTTGTTCGGTTTTAATGTGAGAGCAAAATCTACTCAGAAAAAGTACAGGTATAATCAATACATAGCTTTAAAAGTTTCTTATACGAGAATTAGAGCAAACTACCGTTTACTTCGCTGATTTGAGTTTGTAATTTGAGTTGAGATGTAATTTTATGTGAGAGCTTTTTACTGTAGCAAAAAAGTTAGATGTGACTGTTTTTTAGAGTTTTTTACTGTAACAAAACTCGAATTCTAAACTCGAATTGGCGAAATGAACATGACCTATACAATAGGTCAAACTGCGTTTAGCAAGAAAAAGTGTATAGTACAATTAAACTCCACACAACTTTATATAAATGAGAAGCATATCCAAACCGAGAATATCAATTTGGACATTAGAACCCCACCTCTGAACAATATATATCTTGAGAAACTGCTGATTTTTTAATTACTTCATTACAATTCATCTGATGAATGAGAAAGTTCTGCAGAAACATTCAGATCTAGATCTTCTATCTAATTTTTAGTGTCTCAATTATTAGTGTCTAACTAATAAATCTTACCACATATCATCTCATGATAAGTATAAAAGAGTTAATTAAAAACCAGTTCAAATTTTTTATACGACGTGAAATGATTTAATTGATAAGACATTAATTGAGACATTAAAATTAAATAAAAAATCTGAGTCCAAAATATTCCTCAATATTCTATCCTTGAAATAAAGGCCTATCGCTTTTAGACATGTTTCATTAATGTATTACTTTATTGTGATGCATATGTGACAAAAACATTAGAGTACATATTAAACATTAAAATCCAAGTGCTAAAGGAAAGTGAACCTTTGGATAAAGCTAGCTAGAATCAAACCTATTGATATGCTGTGTTTAATTTATCAACGAGATAATCATGCTTAGTTTCACTTTCTTATTCACAGAATAATGGAAAGTAAGAAACCGTGTAAGGCAAAGCTTTTTTTTTCCCTCGTTTATTATTTATTTATTTATTGAGATTTGCATATAGTTGAACTTGGCCACTTCATATTCTTGTACAGTAGACAAGCCAGCCTTACCCTTTGCAAACGAACTAGACATTGCTTCAAAAGTCAATTTTATCAATTTTTTTTTTTATGACTTGCATTAACAGTTTAAGTACATAAGAAAAAAGTACTTTGATTTATATCTCAAAGTCAAATCAAAAGTCACAAATTATTGCGCTCTATAATATAGTTTAATACAGAGATTTTAGGAGACAGATCCTCTGTTTCCCGTCTCTTTTTCGGTTTCCTACCAATAATATGTTGACACATCATTCATTCATCAAAGAACTTGAGCAAAGTTAAACGCCCGTTTAGTTCGCTGATTTGAATTTTTAATACGGGTTAAGTTGTGATTTTATATGAAAATTTTTTTGCAGCAAAAAAGTAAGATGTAACTGTTTCTGAGAGCTTTTTAGTGTAGTAAAACTCTAATTATAAACTCAAATCAGTTAATTGAATGGGACCTAAATAGACAGAATTTCTCTGTTAACGTTTTATCTTCTCTTGCTCTCTCTCCAAGTGAAACTCTCTCTCACTGGCAAATCGGGTATAAGAAAGAAAAAAAAATGTTGAAGACGTGTGTGGCTTGGACTTATACTTGTCTCAGCAGAAAAGACAAAGGACCAAGACACGTGGTCAAATTGGTTACAGCAATTTGGCATAGGCTAACAGAGTCGGTTTTGGGGTTAACCAAAGGGTATTCGGTTAAGGAGTGTATTGTACATAAGGGATTAGATTTACTTCTTAGACAAAGGATGACTTTACTCAGTTAGAGAGAGAGTGTGTGTGTCTTGGCTCTGCAAGAAAGAATAATGCCTCGTTCACTTTGCGGATTCGAGTTGAGATGTGATATTTTATGAGAGCTTTTTACTGTAGCAGAAAAAATTAGATGTGACATTTTCTGAAAGCTTTTTACTGTAGAAACCTAAAACTGAAAACTCGAATCGGTGAAATGAACGAGGCCTAAGACTTGTACAGACTATTGTGTTTCTTGGGTGAATAATAGTGTGTTGAGATTCTTTCCAGAAATTGATTCTTCTTCTTGGTGTGTCTAAATCGTTTCCGTGGTTTTTTTTCTTTTCTTGTTTTAACTGGAATTTTGCAGGGGTTGTTTTTCTAATCAATTGGTATCAGAGCTCGGGAGGTAGTCATCTATAGCGACTGCAAAATTTGACATTGAGAAGTTCACAGGTAAAAATGATTTCGGACTATGGCGATTGAAGATGCGAGCATTCATGGTTCATCAAGGACTCGAAGAAGCATTAGGAGGAGAAAAGAATCTTCCAAACATGCTCTCGGAGAAGGAAAGAAAGGACATCCTCGACAAAGCGCACAGTGCCCTAATTTTAAGCCTCGGCGACAAGGTTCTCCGGGAAATTTCAAAGGAAAAGACGGCGGCCGGTGTTTGGCTGAAGTTGGAGAACCTGTACATGACGAAATCACTGGCGAACAGGTTGTTCTTGAAGCAGAAGCTCTACACGCTCAAGATGTCGCCGGGAAAATCTCTTGAAGATCATATGGACGATTTCAATAAGATCATTCTTGATCTTGAAAATATTGAAATTAAGATAGAGGATGAAGATCAGGCTCTGTTGCTCCTCAGATCTCTCCTAAGTGAATTTGAGAATCTGTCAGATACGTTGATCTACGGTAGGGGTTCTCTTTTGCTGGAAGAGGTTCAAGCAGCTCTGTTTTCGAAAGAATTAAAGAAGAAATCAGAAGGAAATGAAGAGGCTACAGCAGAGGGATTGAATGTTCGAGGACGTTAAGAACAGGAAGAATTTTCGGTCCAAGTCCAAAACCGGGAGAAGAAAATGTTTTGTTTGTCACAAAGAAGGCCATTTCAAAAGAGACTGCCCAGAGAGGAATAAGCACGGAAGTACTAAGGCTAAAGATGATGGTGATGTAGATGCGGTGTCAGATGGGTATGAAAGTGTTGATCTTTTGTGTGTTGCTGACCAAATGACACACTCAGAATGGATCTTGGATTCAGAGTGCTCATTCCACATGTGTCCTCATTAGGACTGGTTTCTTTCTTACAAGAAGAGCAATAGAGGGAAGGTGCTACTGGGTAATAATAAGGCTTGTCAAGTCTTAGGAATTGGCTCCATCAAATTGAAGCTTGCAGACGGGGTTGAAAGAATTTTGCAAGGTGTTAGACATATTCCAAAACTCAAGAGAAATTTGATTTCTCTTGGTATGCTTGATGCATAAGGTTACTGCTATAAGGCTGAAGGAGGTTTGCTAAGAGTCTCAAAAGGCTCATTGGTGGTATTGAAAGGAAAACTTCAAAACGGGTTGTATGTGCTTCTGGGAAGAACTGTGACTGGTACTGTTGCAACAGTTTCAGAAACAGGAATTACAACAGCTCAGTTATGGCACATAAGGATGGCACATATTAGTGAAGGTGGACTCAGGGAGCTAAGCAGGCAAGGGTTGCTTGGAAAGGACAAGATTACAAGCTTGGAGTTCTGTGAGCACTGCATCTATGGCAAGGCTAGGAGATTGAAGTTTGCCACGACAGTATACCATACTAAAGGGACATTGGACTACATCCACAGTGACCTTTGGGGGGCTTCACGAGTGCCATCTCATAGTGGAGCCAGGTATTTTTTATCCCTGATAGATGATTATTCAAGAAAAGTTTGGATTTACATATTGAAAAATAAGAATGATGCCTTCAGTAAGTTTAAGGAATGGAAGACTCTTGTAGAAAACCAAACTGGTAGAAAGATTAAAAGATTAAGAACAGACAATGGCTTAGAGTTCTGTGGTGATGAATTTAATCAATATTGTAAAGAAGTGGGGATTGCTAGACATCACACAGTGAGGAAAACTCCGCAGCAGAATGGATTGGCTGAGAGGATGAATAGAACACTCATGGAAAGGGTGAGATGTATGCTCTCGAATGCAAATTTGTCTAAACACTTCTGGGCTGAAACGGTTGTCACTGCAGCTTATGTTGTTAATAGAAGTCCTTCGAAGCTATAGAGTTGAAGACTCCTGAAGAAAAATGGTCTGGACATCCCCCAAGCCTGGAAAATTTGAGAGTATTTGGCTGTGTGGCTTATGCTCACATCAATCAAGGGAAATTGGAACCAAGAGCACTTAAGTGCATGTTTCTTGGCTATCCAGATTGTGTGAAGGGTTATAGGCTCTGGTGTGTAGAGAAAGGACAGCCAAAAACGTTCAACAGCAGGGATGTAGTGTTCAAGGAAGCAGAAATGTACCACAATGAAGCAGTGGAAAGGAATAATCCGGGGCAGGA